CCCCCCCTAACTCAGGAAAGAAAAAAAAAAAAAAACTCTACTTAAATCCAACAGCCAAACTGAATTCCAAATCAAATAGAAAATTTTTTCAGATCTATTAAAGACATTTCGACTTTTTCAAATCCAATATTCGAAGACCCAACTGAAGATCTAATCTTAAGTCAATAACCATATTCAGCAACATGCAGGGGCGGATCCACATAGGGGCAAGGGGGGTCAATTGACCCTGCAAGCCCGGAATCCACCATTGGAGAGGAAGATGTTGACCCCTACAAATTGTCCACAACTACTTGATGAAATGCTCTAGAGGGCGCAGCACAGCAGGCAGGAGACGACATTGTACAGATTGCCTTATTTCCATTTTCAACATCTCAGTAAATGTCTTTGTCCTTTTACTTTCATTTATTTTTATATTACTCCATTTACTTAAGTTTACAATGTAAATAAGGAAGTATCCCCCATTTGGATTCAAATAAAAATACTAGAAAATCAAATTCCCACCAAATCAAAATATGAAAAATCGGTTTTAGTGCAAAATACGATTTAGGCTAAAAATGATGGCTCATTAAGTTAATATATACTTCATAATAAAATCCCATAAAATCAAGTTTTCTTATTTGATATGTAAGGAATAAAAGCCGCCAAAAATTATCTTGAGAAAATGATTATTCTGAAAAACCATTGTTCATACTTAGCCAATATTTTTACATAAAACAATTTTTCGATATGAATGCATGGACCTAAGGTCAATCTAGGTAAAAAGCCTTAGATGTTCAATCCACAAAGAGTTTTACAAGAATAATCTAACTCTTACGTATTGAAAAAATATTTTCTTGAAAAAGCTCCCCCTAATAAGACAGTCTCATAAGGGTCCAAAGTTTGAGAGCTTGAGCCAAAAAGAAATGCAGATAAAGCCCAAAATCAAAATGACAACGAACCTCAAAAATGACGTAAATGCCCTAAAATGAGCAAGATTTCGCTAATATATGCCAATTGTTACGTCAAATAAGACGAGATGCTTTGGGAGGCGAAGAGAATTGCGCTAATTTTTTAGTTTACTAGAGATATTTATGGTTTATTGCAAAGTGTATCTATTTTTTGAAGTTGATACAATTCTCTTTGATAATGAACATGAGTGTTTTGTATGGTTTTATCTATTAACTATAAATTAGAATATTATCGTTTCATTTCGATGGGTTTATTTTGTATAAATTTTTTTTTAACCTTTTACACGTTGACCCCCGGAATGAAAATTCATGGATCCGCCCTGTTGTAGTCTCCATCTAGAATAGTCTTTCATGGATCAAAACTTTATAAGAAGAAGGGCGATGGATTATGGAGTGTGACCAAGCAAAGCATTGTGCAAATAGAATAATGAGTAATCTTTGACCGTCAATGCAAATAGAACCCACCACATTTCATAAATTGTCAAAAATCATCCAGACGCGAATGAATTTAACAAAGTCCAAAAATAAGTAAGGGATGATAGCAACTTATACAATAATGACATAGACAGACCTCAAAGTCTACTAGACGACGCTGGCATGCTCATGCCATTATTTTATTTTAGGGTATAAACTTTAATCTTTTGCAAGTTATTTGGGGGTAGAAGGAGAATATGTGTTAGGGGAGAAAGAAAGAAAGAAACTATAGCATGTGCAAGCGTGATGAGGTGACAAGGAGAGGATCAAACAAACAGACATATAAAATTTAATAAATAAATAATAAAGTGAACATATGCATAATGCATGCATGTCTCTGGACATGGTTACTAGCTTGGCTTAAACTTCTCTCTCTCTCTCTCTCTCTCTCTCTCTCTCTCTCATTGTGTCTCTCATATTTATGGGAAAGATTGCTTGAGGATCTTAGCCTCAGCTGGAACATGATTACGATGTGGACGGTTGAATAATTGAATTTACTGGCATGCATGTAGATGAAATCTCAGCGCCACAAAACTCACAAAATGCCATATTTATATCTTCAAATATTTCAAGATAAAGCTGCAAAGTTTGAAAGAGATGAGAATTACATGTGGAACGACTGTCCGTATTTGCACCTACATGTGCATGTAATCTTTTCCATCTGAACTTCAAAAACAAAACAAAAAGGAAAAATAATAATAATTCAAATCAATATGATGAACATGTCACATGTGGGCATTCTTTGTTTGCATCTCTGCACCTTCCTATCTAAATAATTTCCGATTTATTTAAACAATATAAAATCAATCGATTTGTTATTAATTTTATTTATAATATTTATACTCCCTTTCAACCGAAGAATTCTTCAAATAGTATTATTTGAGAGATGGGACGTTCATCCTTTTCGATATGCTTATATATATATATATATATTCATTAACTTGTTCTTTGATGGAGTCAAAACATTCACCTGAAAGCCTCCCTCATGAAGTTCAAGTTCTTGAATCTTGACCTACACAAAAATCCAAACCAAATCCCACAGTGCTTCGACGGTGAAGAACGGCTATATATTTATGAATTATATACAGAAAGGTCCAACTTGTATATAATTAACAAGTAGACAGTGCCCATGTGAGCATAAATGTACAGTATAGGGAGATCTTATATCCCTTCTTACAT